TTTGTTTTTTAGGCTAAATAGCCTAACGAGGAGGACGTTGATGGGTCGTTAACTTGAGGTCACGCCAACCTGCCTTAGTGTTTACGGAGCACGGCAGCCATATATATATATATATATATAATATATATATGAAAAATGTTTTTCTTGGGTTTCGCTTAGACGTGCAAGCCAAGAGCTCAAGGATAATCCTGTATTGATATCGTTCTTTGAAGCCGCCATGGTCAGGTGGGACCTTTAGCCTCAATGGACACAACGGGGTCCAATAGTCCAGCCAGCTGGATTGGTCGGTAAGGAGGGAGCCTTGCATCTTGAAGGCTCGGCGTTCGATTCCCAATGGTCCCAGGGGTTTGGGCACTGTTCCTTTACACAGTCCGGCTCCTTGTCCTCGTATGCCAACTCCTTGTCCTCATATCCCAACTCCTTGTCCTCATATCCCAGCTCCTTGTCCTCATATCCCAGCTCCTTGCCCTCATATCCCAGCTCCTTGTCCTCATATCCCAGCTCCTTGTCCTCATATCTCAGCTCCTTGTCCTCATATCTCAGCTCCTTGCCCTCATATCCCAGCTCCTTGTCCTCATATCCCAGCTCCTTGTCCTCATATCCCAGCTCCTTGTCCTCATATCCCAGCTCCTTGTCCTCATATCCCAGCTCCTTGTCCTCATATCCCAGCTCCTTGTCCGCATGTCCCAGCTCCTTGTCCTCGTATGCCAACTCCTTGTCCTCATATCCCAACTCCTTGTCCTCATATCCCAGCTCCTTGCCCTCATATCCCAGCTCCTTGCCCTCATATCCCAGCTCCTTGTCCTCATATCCCAGCTCCTTGTCCTCATATCCCAGCTCCTTGTCCTCATATCCCAGCTCCTTGTCCTCATATCCCAGCTCCTTGTCCTCATATCCCAGCTCCTTGTCCTCATATCCCTCCCATGTGCTGCACAGCATAGCCACACTGGCTCAACGCTTTCTCATAATTACCCTGCCTCGGAAATCATAAGACCACAATGTATCTATGAGAAACTATGGAGGCTATACAATGAGATCGAACCTGCGTCCCCTCGACAAACCAGCCCCCCTCAAGAAACATTAATATTCTGAATAAAGTCTATGGCCCTGAAAGTAATTCGCAAAGCCTGATTCGGGAATATTCTCATCATTCTGGGGGCTGGTATGCCATAAGCAAAGCTCTCCGGCCCATAACGGAATCAGGGCCTTTATTGGCTAATATAATTCCGTGTTGGGGGGTTGGGCCCTTTATTGACGAGGGTGCGTCGGTGGGAGTTTAATTAGGAGTGTGCAGAGGGGGACGGAGGATCGTGGCTTAGTTGACAAACTATGCACCTGGTGGCGTAATGGTATCATATACTCGCCCTCCGGTGAGGGTTCGAGTCCTTGGCCCGAAGAGGTTTCATTTGGACGTCACTCCTTAACTGATCTGATCGGCGCTTGTTCACCCAGCAGTAATTGCGTACCAGGTTGTTATAACTGGTTGGCGGGTCGTGTTCCAGGGGGGGAGGGGGGGGGGGAAAGTGGTTAGTAAGGCTTACCAGACGAAGGGAAAGCTCTCAGCCTCGCATTCACTTACAAACACTTCCAGTAACCTCCAGTGATGTGAGGGGCCTCGTAGCCTGGTGGATAGCGCGCAGGACTTGTAATTCTGTGGCGCGGGTTCGATTCCCGCGCGAGGCAGAAACAAATGGGCAAAGTTTCTTTCACCCTGAATGCCCCTGTTACCTAGCAGTAAATAGGTACCTGGGAGTTAGTCAGCTGTCACGGGCTGCTTCCTGGGGGTGGAGGCCTGGTCGAGGACCGGGCCGCGGGGACACTAAAGCCCCGAAATCATCTCAAGATAACCTGGAGGGAAGGACTCTCAGGCCTGGAATCTACGTTTCTCCAATTTTCAAATGGAATCTGCATCCTTTTCCATGTTCCTTTTCGATGGAATCTACGTCTCCCTCGTCTTCGATCTCCTGGAATCTACGTCTCCCTCGTCTTCGATCTCCTGGAATCTACGTCTCCCTCGTCTTCGATCTCCTGGAATCTACGTCTCCCGTATGCCATCTTGGACCTGCGTCTTCCCCGCTATAGGGACGATAACACACGTGAACAAAACACCCCCATGGAAGACAGTCCCGTCCCCCCCTCACCCATCACCCCTTCAAGTCTAAGACATACAGACGACCCTCCTCCCTTCTCCCACATCATCACCACACCATAACCCAATATCTCAGCCCCCAGAAAAGGGATAATGCTGACAAAACGCGATATTTCCTGAAGAACGGTGCTCATATTCCTGAACTATTGGAAACGTAACTTGTAGATTGTGTTATCTGTCCCCCTTGATGTGATATCTGTCCCTTGATGTGATATCTGTCCCTCTGGTGTGATATCTTTCTCCAGATCCAAAGTACAGGAGGAAAGCTAGCGAGTGAAGGCAGAACATATTTGGCCCTAAGGGAAGATATTTTGAGAGAAATCCGGCTTATGTGCACCGGCTCTTTCCTTAAAGGGTGATATAACGGAACGGGAGATATAGGGAAGGGGAGATATAGGGAAGGGGAGATATATGGAAGGGGAGATACGAGGGGAAAGGGTTTATTGCGAGGGTGATTTATTCCTACTCATGTTTCACTTGTACCAAAACTTGTCTTAGATATACATGTGTGTGTGTGTGTGTGTGTGTGTGTGTGTGTGTGTGTGTGTGTGTGTGTGTGTGTGTGTGTGTGTGTGTGAATTTATGTATACATTATAATGCCATCCTGGGCGCCTTCGTTGTGTTTACAGTTTCAGTGTAGCAATTGGCTAGTCAAATATACTAACTTATGCCTTTATCTAATACACTGATACTAGCCCCAGGCCCTTGTCTAATACTCACTAGGCTACACCACCATCTAACCACCTATCTACACCCTTCTCTTCTAATATACAAATCTACGTCCTCATGTAATCTACTTACACTACCCTACACCGTTCTCTAGTAATCAATACCGAACTACACAGTAAATTAAAAACCCACATTATCCTAGGCTACACCCTTCATTTATCAGGGGTGTAGATTAGACAATCTACACCCTAGTCTAATACACATACACTAGCCTACACCCTTATCTAGCCCACCTAGACTATCCTAAAGTTATTGATGAAACACGGCCCGAACGAATAGCATTAGTTTCCCCGATAATGTTGTGTATGGGTTCATTCAGCATCCTTCCTCTTCCTTATCTCCTCCTCACCTCCCTTTTCCCTCTGCCTTCCCCCCCGTCTAAGATGCTGTGAACCAGAGAACACCAACCTTGAAGTCTATGTAACCGTTCTTGTCCATGTCGAAGGTTCTGAAGACGTGGTCGCAAAACTCCTCCGCATTACCGGATGGGAAGAACATTTTGTACATGTCGACGAACTTGTCTGGGGTAAGACGGCCGCTCGGACAGTCTTGCTGTTGAGAGAAAGACAAAGTGATTAGGGCTTGATTTTAGAGAAGAGAGAGAGAGAGAGAGAGAGAGAGAGAGAGAGAGAGAGAGAGAGAGAGAGAGAGAGAGAGAGAGAGAGAGAGAGAGAGAGAGAGAGAGAGAGAGAGAGAGAGAGAGAGAGAGAGAGAGTGTGTGAAGGCAAGAGGGAACAAAACCATACTACATCTCCTATGTGCACATATATGTACACATACATACATACACCTACTCTAGCAAACACACACAACAGAAATGCTATGAAATTAAATCTCTACCGTCTGATTTAATTGCATTTTACCAAGCTGTAATTGGATAAAATTATTTAAATTGTATAACAATTGGAAATCCCACTGCTGCCACCATTAACATCTCTTTTCCAACTGTTAGTCGCATACACACAGTTTCCAATTTTATATAAGCTAATATGCAAATTACCTTGCCTTGTGCTACAGAAAACGCTAATAAATAGATCATTAACATGACAGGACTTTGAATTACACAGTCATCTAAGTCAGCTGCTGGTAAGAAATGCCGCTTTTCAGCATTAGCCTACCTCTTTAAGCTACAATTACCGTAACTTGAAGCTGTTGGAAGACACTGTAAGTAATCCGGCATAGGAATCACAGTCTGGTGTTTCTAGCTAGCGCGACAACTTACGGTAATTCATATTCACTAAATCCCCCTCGATACGAGACGTCAAAAGACACAGTCAAATTTTTAAGATTTCCTCGCTGGAGTTGTCAGCATGTAGGAGCCTGGATGAGAGCCTCATCCAGCTGCAGGATGGATGAGAGCCTCCTCCAGCAGGAGCCTTGGGGGAAGGGGGTTAGACTCTGACTCCAGACACTCGCCTGAAGACACAAGAGACGCGACACACAAGGTGCTGAGGGCCAACACCACCATTGTCAGACGGAAGAGACGAGCTGGCCACAATTTACCAGAAGAAAAAACGAAAAATATGAGAGAGTAGAATACGCAAGAAATCTGAAAGAGATGAGGAACGAAAAAAAGCAGAAAGGTGAAGAAGAAAGTGAAGGAAGAAGAACAAAAAAGATGAAAAAAACGTGAGAATAAACTGGCGTGAACTGGATATATCTGGCGCGGACCGGATATATATCTGGCGCGGACCGGATATATATCTGGCGCGGACCGGATATATATCTGGCGCGGACCGGATATATATCTGGCGCGGACCGGATATATATCTGGCGCGGACCGGATATATATCTGGCGCGGACCGGATATATATCTGGCGCGGACCGGATATATATCTGGCGCGGACCGGATATATCTGCCAGAGGAGAACAAAGGAACGCCTTCAAAATACATAGAGCGAGATAAAAATTATGGAGGAAAGACAAAAGGTAATTAGGATGGTGACTATAATGGTGGGAATTAACTGTGGATAAGAAAGGTAATGAAGGCAAGAAACCAAAATAAAAAGGAGAAATGAGAGAAGGAAGAAAGCTGGAACGGAGAGGATGGAATGAAAGCTAAGAATAGAGAACCGAAATAGTTTAAACAAGAGAGAAAAAAGGTGAAAATACGTGAATACAGCATAAGAATAAAGGAAATCTGCAGAAGGCTTTTTGGTCCATACGAGGCAGCTCCTATTGGTCCATACGAGGCAGCTCCTATTGGTCCATACGAGGCAGCTCCTATTGGCCCATACGAGGCAGCTCCTATTGGCCCATACGAGGCAGCTCCTATTGGTCCATACGAGGCAGCTCCTATTGGTCCATACGAGGCAGCTCCTATTGGTCCATACGAGGCAGCTCCTATTGGCCCATACGAGGCAGCTCCTATTGGTCCATACGAGGCAGCTCCTATTGGTCCATACGAGGCAGCTCCTATTGGCCCATACGAGGCAGCTCCTATTGGCCCATACGAGGCAGCTTCTATGGCCCATACGAGGCAGCTCCTATTGGCCCATACGAGGCAGCTCCTATTGGCCCATACGAGGCAGCTTCTATTGGCCCATACGAGGCAGCTTCTATTGGCCCATACGAGGCAGCTCCTATTGGTCCATACGAGGCAGCTCCTATTGGTCCATACGAGGCAGCTCCTATTGGCCCATACGATGCAGCTTCTATTGGCCCATACGAGGCAGCTCCTATTGGTCCATACGAGGCAGCTCCTATTGGCCCATACGAGGCAGCTCCTATTGGTCCATACGAGGTAGCTCCTATTGGTCCATACGAGGCAGCTCCTATTGGCCCATACGAGGCAGCTCCTATTGGCCCATACGAGGCAGCTCCTATTGGTCCATACGAGGCAGCTCCTATTGGTCCATACGAGGCAGCTCCTATTGGTCCATACGAGGCAGCTCCTATTGGTCCATACGAGGCAGCTCCTATTGGTCCATACGAGGCAGCTCCTATTGGTCCATACGAGGCAGCTCCTATTGGTCCATACGAGGCAGCTCCTATTGGTCCATACGAGGCAGCTCCTATTGGCCCATACGAGGCAGCTCCTATTTATAGCCAGCCAACATTCATGTGTCAACCCTTCGCATGAAACAATCCAGCGATCCATTTATCATGTTAAGAGGGAACAGGCAAGGGGATTGTGGGCGTCTGTGAGCGATGGTGCAGTAATATATCATTGTGGGCTTCAGGAGACTAGCACACACGCCTGAACCTGAGGCTCCTCTCTCTCTCTCTCTCTCTCTGCAGGCGATGAGTCACAATAACGTGGCTAAAGTATGATGACCAGACCACACACTAGCAGGTGAAGGGACGACGACGTTTCGGTCCGTCCTGGACCATTCTCAAGTCGATTTTTCTCTCTCTCTCTCTCTCTCTCTCTCTCTCTCTCTCTCTCTCTCTCTCTCTCTCTCTCTCTCTCTCTCACACACACACACACACACACACACAATAGGATATCATTAGCGGCATATGAGAGGTTAGCCAACATAAGAACTGCCTTTTAGAAACATGTGTAAGGAATCATTTAGAACTTTGTATACCACCAATGTCAGACCAATCCTGGAGTATGCACATCCAGCATGAAGTCCATACCTAGTTTAACACAAGATGAAGTTAGAGAAGGTTCAAAGGTATGCCACCAGACTAGTACCCGAGCTGAGAGGGCATGAGGTACGAGGAATGTCTTCTGGATCTAAACCTCACGTCACTAGAAGACAGAAGAGACAAGAGACACATGATTACCACACTCAAAATTCTCAGGGGAAATTGATAGGGGTAGATAGAGACATTAACACGGGTGGTACTCGCACAAGGGGACACAGTTGGAAGCTGAGTACTCTAATGAGCCACAGAGATAAGAACATAAGAACAAAGACAACTGCAGAAGGCCTATTGGCTCATACGAGGCAGCTCCTATTTATAACCACCCAATCCCACTCATATACAAATCCAACCCATGCTTGAAACAATCGAGGGACCCCACCTCCACCATGTTACGCGGCAATTGGTTCCACAAATTAACAACCCTGTTACTGAACCAGTATTTACCCAAGTCTTTCCTAAATCTAAACTTAATTTTTCCAGTGTCAGAGTAGTTAACAAATGGAACACACTATCAGTCATGTAGTGGAGGCAGACACCATATTCAGTTTTAGATACGATAGAGCCCAATAAGATTAGGAATTTATACACCAGTTGAGAGTCGGGAGCAAAGACCCGAAGCTGAACCAATGGAAGCACAATTAGGGGGAGTAAACATACACAAGACTGAGATAACAGGACATAACCCCTACTGGAGGTAAGGAGAAAAAGGGGGGGGGGGGCATGATAACTTGTAAGATTCTCAGGGAAGTTGACAAAGCAGGAGGCAAAGCAGCGATATTCAACACTAGGAACGGCAGAGCTCGTTTGCACTAGTAGTTAAAGCTAATTCCACACAAAAAGTTCAACATAAATACGATAAAAAGTGTGAGAAATGAATCATTACACTGAAATTAAGAAATTAAGTTTGGAAGACGGGGGCTAGGAACCTAGAGCTCGACCCTGCAAGCACATCTAGGTGAGGACACACACACCCACACACCACCCCAACACACACCAAAAACAAATAATATTAACTAGGGAGCTCAACCCCCCCTACCTCCCCCCCTACCCCCCCCCCACCCCCACCCCCACCCCCGTCATCACAAGAGCCAGTCGCTCTTGTGGCGGCTGGTGGATGTACAAACCCGAGACGAGAAACAATGTAACAAACGAATGACAGCAAAATGAACCAGCCACGTGGCGGACATTCAAAAAAGGTAATTGTTAATCGTAAGTGGTTGTCTTTGTTCAGGAAATCCGATGATTAAACAAATACAAACACAACAAAGCAAAGAGCGTAAACAAAACAAAACAAAAAAACTCTAAGCCCGTCAAACACTGAAGATGCTGCGTACCAAAGTGAGGATGTCGAAAAACAAATATATATATACCACTTTGGTCAACATATTTCAGCCACGTTATTGTGACTCCTCGTCTGCAAATATATATATATACCACTATTTATCAGCTGATTCTAGGTAAACACCATCAACATGAGGAGGGGGGAGGGGAGATTGTGTCCAATCACCATATTCCAGGCAAACATTATCAAAGTGAGGGGAGGGAGGGTGGGGGGGGAGTGTTCTGTCAGCTGATTAAGTGTAAACAAACATCACGTCAGCTGTTCCGGGTAAACAAACATCACGTCAGCTGTTCCGGGTAAACAAACATCACGTCAGCTGCTGGCGTTACGAGTGACTCCCACCACAGTACACAAACATCCCAACACACCAATGCACGCCCATTCCTTTCCCATCGTCAGTGGATGTGCAGTAAACGTCCCTGCCCATCCCACCCGTCCCATTGGCGTGTCAGCTGGTAGGAAGTAAACATCTCTTGACCGTCCCATTCCAGCCGTTGGCTGATGAGGAGTAAAGATCCCATTTATTTCTTCCTCTCCCTTCCTGTGTATACATTGTCATCCCTCCCTTTTCCTCTCCGTGCCTCTCCATCCCTCCCCGTCCCACTCTACCCCT